TGTCCCTGGGCAAGACACTGAACCCTTCACTGCCTCCGATGTGTGTCCCATCAGTGTATGAATGTGATAAAGCTCGGATTATTCTTTGTACAGATCTAGTAGAGTGCTGTATGAATGGGTACATGAGGACACAGGTTGTGTTCTAAAGCACGTTGAGTGTCTAGATAAGACAGAAAGGCGCTGTATAAGTACAGTCCATTTACCATTAATAGCAACATTGACCACATTTTGAACAAATAATTGTAAACCATACAGGTACATACAAACTATGCAGAATTTCTTTGTCTAGAATTATAATCATAGAGTATTTTATCTTTATTGTCACTGGACAACTCAGTTGGTTTCAAGCATTTTTAAAAGGTATTCATTATGTCAGTGGTTCTTGTATGTCCTTAAAGTAAATATTTGTAAGCAGAATTTGTAACCAGATGCCAAACTATAACTTATGTTTGTTTACCTACAGAAACAGCCAGAGCGACTGAAAATCTGCCAAAAATGATGACGTTCATGGTAGAGTCCTTCGGTATCAAGAAGCCTGATAAGTTTGATGTGTTGTAAGTATTTACGCTCATACAGTATTTGTTGAGTAAAGTGCATACACATAAAGATGGGTTTGGTTGAAACTATACATTTATTGGTCTAGCTAGCAGAAGTTTTGCAAAAGCTGTGTACGTTTGACTGCTGAGCTCTGTCTTTATGGAGCTCCACCACCGTGCTTGAGCCCTAATATTTTGTCTAGAGCGTTTTCTTACTAATTGTCTCTTTTAGCTTTAGTGCAGCAGCAGAATCACCCCTATACTTCCACCTAAACTTCATCTCTGCGAGTCTACTTGTGATTCCACCATTTATATTTACCCACACACATGAACAGCCACATCACTTAAGCTTCCACTTGTTTTTTGGCAGACTCAGCAGAGTGCTGTGTTTACATTGGCTGCGTACCCACATTTTAATATATCTGCAAAACTACTTAAGTAAACACTTTCAAACTGCACCATTTAATATAGTCTAGGATAACCTTTAAAAAAAATTAGTTTGCAGTGAACACCTTAAAATCTTTATAGTTGCTTTTAGATTTTTATTTATTTATGGTATTGCTTAATATTTTATTTTATTAATACCTCGGCATTTATTTGAGTTGCAAATCGAACCTCGTTGCACTGTACAACTGGACTGCAATGGCTACAAAAATCATTATATTCTAGTTAAACACTGAAGCTGTTGAGATGTTATTATAAATAAATTGATCCAAAGCCATTCTTTTTCTGAAATTAATTAATTACCATATAAAACAAGTGGTTACTATAAATAAGTTGTGCACTATTGATAACTAGAGAAATTGCATTTCCTGCAAAAATGCAATGTGAATGTTTATTGCAGAAGAACTTGCCCAAAAACAGCTGAAATAAGCTAAAAAAAAAAATGCTTAAATGTAGCTGAATAGGAAAAACAAGCTTAAATTAGCAGAAGAAAGAAGAAAGAACACATATTTGCTAAATTAGGATTCAATAACTAGAAATGAGCACAAAAAATAGGAAATTGGCTAAAAAAGCTCAAATTTGCAAAAAGGAAAAAAAAAATCTAAAAAGTAGCTGAAAAGGCAGAAAGAAACTTAACCTATGAGACGGAAGTGGGAAGAGCTGAAATGAGCTAAAAAATGTGGAACTAGCTGAAAAAGCTAATATTTGTGTCAAAACAGCTAAATAGCTGAAAAAGCAGAAACGAGCAGAAAAAAGTTGAAACAAGCTGAAATGAGCAGAAGAAGTTAATTAGGATAAAAGTAGCAAAAAACAGTTGAAACTAGATTTTTAAAAATCTAAAAAGGTAGCTGAAAAGGTATAACAAGCTTAAATTAACATAAGAAAGCAGAAAGAACACGTTTGCCCAATTAGGCTGAAAGAAGCAGAAATGAGCACAAAAAAATGGAAATTGTCTGAAAAAGCTGAAATTAGCAAAAAAAAAAAAAAAAA